TAAGTCCTGGAAATTCTTAGACAATTATTTTAGCACAAAGGTGGTTGAGGACAGTGAGTTTATCCCAATTATTTATTTCTATTAAGAATTAAGTCGTGGAAATATTTTAGATACTGACAAATTCACATTACCCTGTAATTGCTTTGATAGTCATCAAATATTTAAGCAGTGTTAAATTTCCCTGAAAATCACTACCACTAAATGAGTTTTGAGTGTTTACTCTTGTTTATTGTTACAGAAAATCTAAGGAAGAGTATGAAATAGAGCAAGAGAGAAAGAGGACTGAAGAAGTGAGTGTCTTGCCTTTGTATGTGAGTTATGGGACTGATAAGGAAATCCCCTGATATTCTGTCCTGCCCAGATCCCTTCCAGGCCGTGTTCCATCAGTGCAGTATCCCACAAGAGGCACATTCCCTGCTCAGCACCTGAGCCCTGAAATCCTGCTGATGGGTGTCAACCCTTCAGATCCAGGGAGCAGCTGAATTGCTGATATTGTCAGGATCAAAGAGCCTTCAGAGTGTAAGCTGCTTGGAGATGACAGCACTCATAATCCCACGGGAATTACCTTCAGGATGACTTGATAGACAGTGTAGTTACTGATTAAGTGTTCACAAGAGAGAACTAATCACCAGGACCAGAAATCCTCTCCAGGAGACCATCCCTTGGTGTCCATCAGAGTAAACCACAGAGAAAGGAAACAGAATGGGAATGGGGACTGTCCAAATTGTGGAATCATGGCAATAAATCTCCCCTTGACTGGGAAAACAGGCAGGTTTTATCCCAATCCCCACAGACCACCAAGAATATCAGTATTTTTGATAAATGAGCCAGATTGCAGAGCCCCCAGTCAAGTTCACCTGGCCAGAGAAGGTGATAGTTAGTGTTCAGTGATATGGTTTTTGTTAAAAGAATGTTTCAACACAAAATAATGTCATATTTTAATGAGTGGTGTGGGGTTCTGACATGAATGCCATGGTTGATCAACAGCAATTTCTAGGCAGAAATTCTGAGAGCAGGGCTGGATTGTCTGTAGTGTCAACAATGCAGTTTTAATTGGAATTTTTTTGGGAGATTCCTTTGTGTGGACAGTTCAGTACCTGAGGTACAGTGCCAGGAAATGTAACACTTGGGTTTATTTGTTTTCTAATTCAAGGCACATGCTAAACTCAAAGCTCCAGATGTTACCCAGCATTTTCCAGGAGATTCAAGAGAAGCTGTAAAAGTTAAGGAATCCACTGAGGGAGCTGAGGATGCTGAAGAAAGTCCAAAATGCCCATTAGGTAATTTTAGGGGGAGTGCAGTGCTGAGTGGGCAACGTGATGCTGGTTTTAAATGATTCAAGAGTTCACTTTTATCAAGATTTTAAGAACTTGGCTGGGTAAGGCTGTGAGTAAAGTGTATTTGCCCTGCAGGAATGCCTTCCAACATGGGATGCTTCACTATTCCATGATGTTCTGTTGTGACTGATTATTTTTATCTCATGTATTTATTCTTTTTAAATTTTTTTCTGTGTAAAATTACTTAGAGGGATCTCATAAACCTACAAAAGAAGACCCCAAACCAGTTTGCCCAGTACAAAAAGGAACTGAAAACTTACCTCAGCCCTCTTGTACCAAGGGGAAAGAAGACACTAAGAAAAGGTCTGCTGGGAAAGGTTCAGAGAACACAGTGCAAAAAGCTGGGGTGAAAGGACCTGTAAGTTAAAAACAAATTAAAAAAAAAGGCAAACAAAGAACTAGAATGCAAAAAGAGAGGATTACATGCAGAATATTTCTTTAAAATAGTATTGTATTTAAATACAGTATTTCTGTTGTTGTAATGAGGTGGATTTGGGTTATTCTGGGTTTTTTAAAAAACAAATATGTAAACACTCTTTCATGTTATTCACAGTTTAATTAGCACGAAGTTCAGCTCATGATTTCTGGTTTCAGAGTAGAATTCAGCATTCAGTCCTTTGGTAATTTCTTAGGAGACAGCTCTGACTTGAAGCCTCAGCTTGGATTTGCTTTCACTTGGTAATTTTGGAAGCAAATAGGATGTAAATGTGCTTTTCTTGCACAGGACATTGATACAAAAGAATTAATTTCAAAATTTTAATTTTTTTTCCCCCAGGATTTATCAGAAACTGAAAAGCAGCAGCTGAAGCAACGTGAGGATTACCTAAAGAAAAAACGAGACCTGCTGCTGGCTACGAAGAAAGAGTCAAAAAATAATGCACCAGCACCCAACACTGATCAGAAAGAGGAGGAATCCCCTCCCAAAGAGGTGAAGCACTTTCACATAAACCCACAGGTGCTTTCACTGCAGGTGTCCTCAGTGCTGCTGAAGAGTGGGAATGGGTTAAAAGAACAAGGGGGGAAATATTTCCAAGCCACTGGCTTTGCAGAAGCTTCAGGCTGGAAGTTTCAGTGCTGAAGTTGGCATTGGTTGGCTTCAGCATCAGCAAAGCCTCCTGGTTAACTTCAGTTTATGGATGGAGAAAATGCCAGTTTGCTCCTAGTCTGTGACCTACTGCTTGGCTCCTCACATCTCAGGGATTTTCTTTTTCTTTTGCAAATGCTTGAAAACTCTATCAAAATTAAGAGGAAAATACTAGAAGACCTTAAACCCTGCTTACATTACAAAACAGTGTGGTAACTGATATTTCCAAGCCACTGGCTTTGCAGAAGCTTCGGGCTGGAAGTTTCAGTGCTGAAGTTGGCATTGGTTGGCTTCAGCATCAGCAAAGCCTCCTGGTTAACTTCAGTTTATGGATGGAGAAAATGCCAGTTTGCTCCTAGTCTGTGACCTACTGCTTGGCTCCTCACATCTCAGGGATTTTCTTTTTCTTTTGCAAATGCTTGAAAACTCTATCAAAATTAAGAGGAAAATACTAGAAGACCTTAAACCCTTCTTACATTACAAAACAATGTGGTAACTGTTCTGTTTCTAACCCAAAAATCACTACTCTTCTTTATAGAACAAGTACTTAAGGGCATGAACTAAAGTCCAAAGACTTTAGTCTTTTCTATTGCCTCAAATACTTTTCAGAGTGCATTTTATTATGCTCCAAATCCTGGTGACTGGGGAGCCTTCAGGACAATTGCTCAGCAGGAGCTGAAGCTGGGGTTCCCAAAACACAGATCAGGGCAGTGGGAGAGGGCAGGGTGGTGGCAGGAGCCCCATCCACCCCTCTGATCCATGGTGGGGCTGGTGGTTGCTCATTGCAGTTTTGTTTCCACTCTGTTTTTAGGAAATGTCAGAAGAGAAGCAAAGGCTGCTCCAGAAGAGGAAGATGCTTGCAGAAAAGCTAAAAGAAGAAGTAATTAATAAGCGGTAGTTTTAAGAGGCTCATTGCTGACCCCAAGAACAGAAGGATGTTTTAGAATAAATTATCAGTAAGTGAGGGATTTCCAATCTTGCACTGGGATTTATAGAACTTTCAGACAAGCAGCTCAGTCCCTGGTAACTCCCTATTGCAAATGCCACTGAAACACACCATGAACACTCGTTTTCCAGAGTGCTGGAAAGTCCCTGACTGTCCCCCTGCCAGCACTGCAGAGCACAGCCCCGCTCCAGCCCTGAGAGCAGAGGCACCGCTGGAGAGCTGGGAAAGGAATTCCTGTGGCAACAGCTCCGAGCTCAACGTTGGAACTTTTTCATGTCAACAGTGCAGGAGGTGGTTCCTTCCATTAGCCCATCATAAACCAATGGCTCTTGGTCAGCTGTGCAGTAATAAAGTCTGCTTTCACAAGGAAGTGCCCTCGACCACCTCATTTGTGAGAAAGCCAATGCACCTTGGGAGTCAAGACATGCACAAATTAACTCCAGGTTACGGTGGTTTACAGGCTTTTGGGCCAGTTTCCCAGGCTCCAGGGCCCAGTTTGCAATAAATGCAACTTTAAATGAAAGGAGTTGCTTTAGTGCAAAGCTGACACTGTTCCAGCAACTCACTGCCAGAGTAGCAGAAATCTTCTAAAGCCCTTTACTGGTTTGGCTTTCACAGACTCAAAAAGAAGCCAGGAGAGGTCACCCTTTGCCCATGGCATGGCCTCACTGAGAGGTGACCCTTGGCCATGACATGCCACAGCTTCTCACAACAAGAGACAAAACCCCACCCCTTCTAGTTTCATGGAATTTTTATTAAAATAGCATTTATAACTGGTACATGTTGGCAGATGTTCCATTTTTTCCCCAAAAGTGGCAGTGGAAGGGCCCTGGCAGGAGAACAAACGTGGCTGCCCACGAGGGCAGACTGGGAACCAGCACCAAGTGGTCACAGCCCAGGGAAAAGCCAGAGAGTGCTGGGTGTCACCTTCTCCCGGGATTGCAGGCTGGTGTTTAACAGGATATCTGCTGCCACTTCACCCAGTCCTTTCCTAGGAACTATAAAAACTCATTACATTCTTGGCTTTGCTGTGAAGCAAGCTCCTGTTTGTCTGAGTGTGTTTTTAAAGCTCCAGCCGTTGGCGTGGTGAGGAGCAGAGCAAGGACTGACGCTCCTCGGGAGTCCTGTGGAGAACTCGGCTTGGGAGGCTGCTGAAGAGAACCAGGAACAGGGGTCCACGCTCCAGGAGATGTCACTTCTGCTCCTCAGGTGAGTGAAGGCACATCCCAGGTCCCTGCTGCTTTCATGGCCTGTGAATCTTCTTTACTGATGGAGACAGAGCCACGAGGAAGCAAAGCAGCTTGAGAGCGAGCGCACGAGGATGGAGCTGCAGCTTCTTCAGCAGCAAACACCTCCTTGGCTCTGGAGCTGCCGGGTGTTCCCTCACAGTCCTGTGCTGGCTGGCCTGGAGCTCTCTGGGGACACCACCACTGTCCCCAGGTCCATCAGAGCACCTGTGTCTTGCTCACACATCGGGATGAGCTCACCCATTCCCTCTGGGGTTCCATCCAGGGGTATGGAGTTACTTCTGAAACCTGCATGGATAACTAACCTGAAACAATATCCTGCAACAGCCACATTGAAAAGTCTGAGTTCACCTTACCACGTGTAACAAACCAAACAAAAGCAATAATTATGGAATTACAGGGTCACATTTTAATTCCTGAATTTTACAGTTCAGCATTAATATCACCACATGTATACAAATGGTGTAAAACAAGTACAGTGGTATCTTTAATACAAAATAAACTTCTGTTTTATGGAAAAAACTATACTTCATATCTACACAGACAGCCCATCTTTTCCAAACAAGAGCTAAAATTAAAACTAACTACAAAAATCTCCAAAACAGAGAAACTGCTTCAGTTTAAACTATTCCAGGAGAAATGGACCCATAACACGTATTACAAGAGTGATCTATGTGGTGGATTGCAGCTGGTTCCATCTTTAACATCTCTGACACAGTCGCTGGGAAATCTCCTCTCACTCAGTCATGATCTCAGATCACATATGGGCAAACTAACATTAAAATATTTACAGTTCATGTGCTGCTCTTAAAAATAAAACCTGGACTGTTTGCCTCTGTCACCTTGCCATGAACTCCCCTGTTCCTGTCACAGTTCACTCACCTATGTGGAATGTGCTTTTGTGTTTTAAAAAAGCAGCTTTTGTACCACCCCAGGTTCAGGTGCTGCTTGTGGATTCCGCCTCCAAGCCCTCGAGGTGTTCTCCTGGCAATAACCCTGGCTTGGTCCAAACTGCCTTTGCTGTTAAAATGCTGCTCAGTCCATCTCTATGAAAAACCTGTGTGTTTCTTATTCCCACCTCAACCATGCAGCTCCCAAACAGGGAAACAGCTGCTCCAAGAGGAGGCAGCCCTGGAGCACCGTGGGGCACGTTGGAATTCAGGCTCTTCCCAACCTGAACCAACAGCTGAGGGATGTGCCAGGTGCAGCCCCACCATGACACAAGCAGCTCCTGCAGACCCTTGGGAAGCCACTGCTCCTTGGCATAGATATTTCTGGACGTCTCACTGACAAAACAAGCAAAACCTTCCATTTTGAATCCAGCTTCCATTCTCTCCTCTTGGAAAATACAAATTAAAACTTATTTTAACTGTTTGAAACAACTCAACATGCACTACAACTGCAGTGTCCCTCCCTCCAATCACGAGAAATGCAGTTTAGTTGGTAATAAATGGTCCCAAAATATGGATTGTTCTTATGCAAACAGAGTTAGTTTTCCCTTAAAATTTTTTTAAAAGAGGCATTGCTAAAAGAACACAACTGACAGCACCATTACAAAATTAAGATTACTGGGTTCAAAATTTAAGTTTGAATTTTTTTTCCTAGTTCTGTTAAACAATGGGGAAACCCTGCAATATTTTTTAAAAAGTGTTACCATACCTTTCCCTCCCCCTTTCCCTCCCAACACCTGAGACTTTCCTTGCTGAGAAGCCCTCATCCAGGTTCTGAGAATACTAACCCACCTTTTTTTAAAATTTTTCTTTTTTTTTTGACAGCCTGAATGGCAGACTCCTTACTTTCTAGAAAGACATTAAGTTCCTTGGAAGATTTGTGTTTACAGAACTAACCCTTTCTAGCTGATACACCGAGTTTCTTTTGCTACTCCTTGTATTATCTTATATACTCATGGGAGAAAGCTTTCTGATTCAGATTCTTTTTAGCTCTTAAAACAGTTGCAGCATTTGAAACCCCATAATAAAAGTTCTTATTCCAAAGTTTTGGTTTCTTTTATGAACCCAGACGAGGTCTTTTCCTTGGAGATGTCTCCTCCTCTTCGTCATCGTCTTCATCATCAGGATAATCCACTAGCCCAACTAGACTTCCCTGCCAATTAGAAAAAGGAAAAAGGAAGTTTTTATGTTGAAGAAGTACCTAGAAAGGTGCAAATTTTGAACAAAACCTCCAGCCAACCTATCCAGGGCACACCAGCCTTTGGCATTCCAAGTCCCATTTGCCTGGAAAATGGGTTTGAACCTCAAGCTGCAAAATGTACTGGAGCTTCCTCACTCCTCTGGGTCTGGACTGAGAACTGTTTAAGATTAATCACTGTCAGCCCAGCGGGACAGACACGAACTCCGAGGTGCAGGCTGACATCCCTTTGGCTGCTCAGCCTTAGGCTGGGCAATCAACCCCTGCCACGCTTTTCTGCAGCTGCTCAGGAGCTCAGTGGCTGAGGATTCCAATAATGCACGGCCGAGTCAGCCACCACACAGGGGTCACTCGCTGCACTTGTCTCCTCAAAAGCACTGGGCAATTCCCCAGCCAGCGGGGCACTAACAGTTCCCAAAAACCCCCTTTCCTTTGTACATCAGGTACACAGAGCAGCAACTGAGCAGAACAAAACGTGGAAACAGTGAAACGACGCAGAGGGTGTGGGATGAGACTGCACCCACCAGATTCCACCAGAGCCCAGCCCCACTCAGACCTCCCCAGAGCAGCGAGGGGCTCAGGTGAATTTATGCCCAACTCAGCCCTGTTGCCCGCAGGCTGTTGCTGCTGTCACCCTGGGACAGCCCCACACGAGTTCTCCCACCTTGGGGGCTGGCACCGCCGGGCTCAGGGCCGTGTTCTTGGAAGAGGAGCCGTTGGAGCTCGCTGGTGATGTCTGAGCTGCCACGGATTTGCTGTTTGCGCCGTTCGCACCGTTGGCTGCGCTGGCTGAGTGGGAAAAAGTGAATTTGAATCCCCCAGCTGAAGTCCTTTTTGGAAGATTCTCTTTGTCTTCACTCTCCTTAGCTGAGGGACAAACATTGTCACACTTAGGTATCAGCTGCACACCAAGGAGTACAATCCACATCACAGTGCAATCGCAGGGCGAGAGCCAGCAGGTTTTTTGGTTCCAATTCTGCTGCAATTCTCAGTTCCCCAACCAAGCCCATCCTGAGCCCACCAGCAGCAAACCGAGCAGGGCCTGGATGCTGAGGGCACGGGGACATGGCTCACCTGGAGCACACAGGCACATTCAAAGTCCTGCTTTTGGATACCATTTAAACTCGTTATTTTAATCCTAAACTGGCTTGCGAAGACACATTTGGATCTCAAGACTCAATTACACGGAATACCCTGTGCTGCTGCTTGAGGTACAGAGCACAAACCACGGGTTAGTCTGGGTGATACTCCACGTATCTGCCATGGAGCACTTCCAGTGCCAACAAGCTCAAACAGAGTAAATACCTTTTTTAGTTTCCATAAATTTCTCATAGCTATCTGGAAAATCATCCTCCTGTTTTGACTTCTCAACTGGAGGTACAACAGCTTCGCCTTCTTCCTCTTCATCTTCATTGAACCACATTTCTTCATCCTCCTCCAAGGCTCTGGCATCCCTGCGGAATCTATTGCTACGCAATATGGATGGGACACTGTAAGAGACACACACAGGGATTCCAGCTTGGCTGCTGTTTCAGGCTCGGGATCAGAAATGCCCTACAGAGCCCTAGAGGGAACTCAGTGCACTTGAGAAGGCAATGCAGCTCCATCTCTGGTTCTGCCCTCACCCCAAGACTCACCAACACCCCAGCTGATGGCAAGCCAGACTGAATCCCAAATCAGAGCGACAGAGCAACATTTTGCTCTTCTCTTAGAGAGTTCTCTCTCTTCTCTTAGAGTGTTTTACGAAAATAACATTTAGTCCACTGGCCAACATCAGCTCTACTACACTTGGCCACAAGGAAAGGCAGATGGGGCTTTCCTCTAATCTGAGAAGTTTCCACCAAGAATGAAACCCAGCCCCAGTCCCAGCCTCCTGCTCCTGCTGCCCTCTGGGAAAGAGAAAAGCAAGGAGCAGAGCACAGCAGCAGCCCCTGCCAGGCTCAGGGCACAGAAACCAGGGCCTACCTGTTCAGCTTCTGGCTTTGTCGGTCCTTCTCCTGCTCATATTTTGTCTTCAGTCCCTTGAACGTCTGAACATACTCAATAGATTCAAGTGCATTATAGAAGTTTTCAACTATATGTGCAATAAGGGACTTAATATCTTCCTGCAGAAGAACAAAACAGGATTTCAGCCTCAAATGGGCACAAGAAGAAGTTCACAAAGCTTTTGAGTTTAGTTTGGAAAGAAACTGATTTCTTGCCCAGAGCCAAAGCGATATTGTACAATATCATACAAATGTGAAACATGAAATCAGATTTATCTTTGATAAAAGAGATGAGATTGAGAAATAATGATTAGGCTTCCCATAGAAATAGACAATGGACCCGGCAGTGTCCCAGTTGTATTTGTGACACTTCTGTTAAACAAAGATCTTTTATGTGGGAGAACTGTGCCCTGTCCTCCCCACAGGCTCCAGCTCTCCCCACTCCTCAGCAACTACAGCAGCTCATGTGGGACCAGGAACCTTTTGGTCAGTCCCCCTCTGTCAAGTCTCTCACCCTATCAGGCAAATCCTAAAATTCCTAATGTTCTTCTTGCTGGAAAAGACAGCAGCCACCATATCCTACAACTAAAACCCGCCCTTCACTTTCACAGACCACAAAGATTCCCAGCAAAGCCTCCCACACACGAAGGTGCTGGCAGCAAGTGGCTCAGGAGCTGCTGCAAGTCCTTGTTTTCCAAGGAGCTGGCTGCTCCTGCAAGAGCTGCAGCTGCACTCACCACTCTGATGAACTCGAAGAGCTCAATCACAGCAGAGTTGAGCAGGTTGTACCGCGTGCCGTTGTCCAGCAGGGCGTTGATAACTGGCTCAAAGAGGTTTCCCTTGGTGATGTAACGATTATAGAATTCATCTTTCAGCCCGATTATCCTCCTCATAAAGCGGAGAGCACCTGTGGGAAGGAAAATTCAAGGAGTTAATAACCACGTGCCAGGGTTTGTGGAAAGAACTGAAACCCCTCGTGTTACCCAGAGGAAGATGGGACCCCAAACCCAGAGCGTGCCAATCTCATCCACACCCACTAACACAAATTCCAAGTGTACACTGGAACACCTTCCCACAGATTCCAAGTTCCACACAGTCCCACCATGCCTGGAAGAAGGAAATCACAACAGCTCCATACTCACACAAGGCCAGAAATGTGTGTTTTGAATTCATCAATACCAGCACTCTTCTTAGCAAATCTTTGTTCATAATGTAATTCTTGATGTGATATGTGTGGTGTTCCACACAAAAAGTAAGCAGCTCCAAAATTAAGGCAAGTAGTTGTGCTGTTTGGTAATTATCTGCAAGAAAAATGAACAATTTCAGCTTTCAGTAGCAAGCTTGATAAGAAAAAAAACCCCACTAACTTAAAAACAAATGAAAATGTTCTTTCAGCTTCCAGTCATCTAAACTGAATCAAAGCTCCTGCATCTATTTCAGTAAAAAGGATTAACAGAAATAAAATATGGGCATGCCTAACTAATTTTTTTTAACAGAGTGCCATACACAGCACACAAGACAAGTTTCAAAACTCAAAGTCAAGTCAGACTTACCAGGACAAATTGTATTACTCTTAGTGGATCCAACTACTGCATCTGATAAAGATGTGTTTTGAATTCATCAATACCAGCACTCTTCTTAGCAAATCTTTGTTCATAATGTAATTCTTGATGTGATATGTGTGGTGTTCCACACAAAAAGTAAGCAGCTCCAAAATTAAGGCAAGTAGTTGTGCTGTTTGGTAATTATCTGCAAGAAAAATGAACAATTTCAGCTTTCAGTAGCAAGGTTGATAGGAAAAAACACCCTACTAACTTAAAAACAAATTTAACTGTTCCTTCAGCTTCCAGTCATCTCAAGTGAATCAAAGCTCCTGCATCTATTTCAGTAAAAAGGATTAACAGAAATAAAATATGGGCATGCCTAACTATTTTTTTTTAACAGAGTGCCATACACAGCACACAAGACAAGTTTCAAAACTCAAAGTCAAGTCAGACTTACCAGGACAAATTGTATTACTCTTAGTGGATCCAACTACTGCATCTGATAAAGAAAATAAAAACAAAAATCTGAAAAAGCTTTTCAAAGCACTGTCAAGATTTAAAAGATGAGGATAAACAATCAGTTCTACCAAGTGGTCAGATTTTTCATCAGATCAAAGGTTTGTGAGCTACAGGGACATAAACGTGCAGCAAGAACACAGCCAGGTGAGATTTCTGTATTTAATTTACCTTACAAAGTTTTAAATCCATCTAGGTGAAAATGTATAACCTAAACTTAGCTTAGGAATAAAGCACCAATCCTAATTTTTTCAAATAATGCATTAAAATGAGTGCATTTTAATTTACAGACACTGCATTTTAATTACAGACACTCTGCTTTACAGGAAGTATATTTTAAATGCAATTAACAATTGTATATTAGCATGATTAACATCAAGGAAGTGCATCTTGCACAAAGCACAGCACAAAGCTACAGCAGCATCCAGAGCTGCAGGGAAGGGCTGAGAACTGCTGCCCACAGAGGCCCTGTCCCTGGGGGAGCAGCACTTTTCCACAAGCACATTCCCAGGCTGATCCCTGGGACCAGCACTGTCAGTCACTGCCAAACACTACAGGCCTGAAGGGAAGAAAAAGAAAATGAAAATATTCTGTACCTTTTTCACATTTATCTTCTGATGTATTGGCCAGAAGCGGAGCAGTGAGAACGTGCATACAATGGTTGTAGAAGAAATTGAGAAATTCACTCTTTTCTGTTTTCTAAAACAAAAATAACTTTATTAAACACTGGGATTTGTACACAGGCTTTTAAAGAAGAGCAGTAACATAGGAAACAGCCCATACAGAATTCTACTGGCTCCTTCAGGTCTGCCTGTATATTTGTTGGGCCTGCAGGACTGTCTTTGCTCCAGGAAGATCAGTTTTTGCATTTTGGGGCAAATAACCAAGCTCACAGTCACCAAAAAATCCCCACCGTGCAAACATCTACTGAAAAAACATCAACAACTCAAAAAGCTTGACAAAACTTTTTTAATGAACACCTGCACAACGCCCCAGAATGGAAAGGTTAATCTTATTTTTGGCTTGTTTAAATTCAGTATCAGAGCAAACACGGAGAATGTCAGGTTTTCAGCTCTGCTGAGACAGTGCAGTATCTGTACCCCCCCTCTCCTTACATTGGCTGTGGCTAGCATATTCTCTGGGTCAATCAGAGTTCTCAGCAGCCCCATTAGCTGAACAGCTCCCCCCAGCTCCGGATCTGTGTCGCAGATCATCTGCTCGATGACCACATTGATGAGGAGGATGTCCTGCAGAAAAATCCCAAACAAACACCAAACAATTAGACAGTTTCAAGAGTGGAAAGCAATTTCCATAGTCTATGTAATTTTCTGAAGACAATTTTAAATGAAACTGAAGAATTGAGAGTTGCATTTGGATACAGAAATTCTGGCAAGCACAACTCTCCACACCTACAACCCTTGTTAGTCAGATTTCCAAAACTGTGAACTCATACAACACCAACATGCTCAGAGCTGTTTGTATATTAAAGCTACTTTTTCCTGTACTTCTAGAGGTTTGTTTTGCTGTTTTGTTTGTCTCTTCCTTGCCCAAAGACTCAACAAACTGCAAAGCACTGTGACTTACATCATCACTTTGCTGGGCCTCTTGCATCACAAATTCTCGGACCATGGATGGGCTAAATTCTACCAGATAAGAAAATATATCTGTAGCAGCAGATCTAACTTGCAGATCATCCATTCCCTAATAAAGAGAGAAATTGATTAGCAAGAACAAATTAAGCTGGTATTTATTACCAAGTAAAGCTGAAAGTAATAGGTAGTTTTAAGTTTTGGGAACATCTCATTACCAGAGTTTCTATGAGACACAGTAATAGTGTTACAGAAAAACGTTAATAAACCAGCAAAATGAATTGCAATGTTCAGGCAGCAACAGCTGCTTCAACCACAGGAGTGAAAGAAATTCTGTTTTCCCACTGCTGATTAGGACAGATTAATCTGCTAACGACAGGATTACGGGATCTTTTGGGAGGAACCAGCCAACAGTTCAAGATTATCTAAAAATACTTCTTGGGCCCTGGGCCAGCAACAACCACAACAACAATCCAGCTGCATGAAGAGCCTCTGCCAGTTTCTACACCCCCTTGTCCCAAGGACTGTGCTGAGCACAGGCTCACACAGAATGAAAATGCCCAGAGCAGCCAGGTCAGGCACTTCAGAGCTGGGGGCAGCCTCTGCATTGGGAACGCTCCAATCAACTCCCACTGCCGGCACAGCAAAACTGACACGGAGGGGCTCAGCAGAGCCAAAACTGCCCCAGTGGCTGTAGCTCTTCCACGTGGTTTCAGCTTGAAGTTTCACTCACCATTACAATTTCAAGAGCTGGAAGAATTCCCAACTTTGCCAAAGTTTTGAAGAACGCATCTCTGTTCTGAGGTTGTAACGTCTGAGAAAAGGCGCAAAATTCCTTGAAGAAGTTGACCTGTCACACAGGGAAAAAGGAATTTGGGTCAGAAAACTCCCTGAAAGGATGAAACAGTTACATTTTGCGGCAGAGTTCGTGTGCTGGCTGGCTCTACAGAAATCCCCCAGTGACTGCAGAAGAGTTTCACTGTTTCTCCTTCATCCCCCGACCCAGAGCCCTGCAGGCACCCCAGGCAGCTGGCACTCACCAGTTCACACCGTTTGTCGTCGTCTGTAGCTTCGTCTGTCAACTGTGCAAAAACTTCTGATAAAAACTTCTCGTCTTCCTGTGTAACACACAAAAGGAACACACCTTACACAGCGCCTCTGGAAAACAACTGCCACCCCCTACAGGAGCCAGCCCTGCAGAAAGTCCAGCTCTCCATCCAATTTATCCCAAAAAACACAAATGCCAGAGCACACATCCATCCAGTGGGATCTTTCCCAGGGCATTGTTTCAGCACTCCCTCTGAGCAGCAGAAGCAGCTCCAGGAGAGCAGAGCCAGGTGAAGCTGAGTTCAGTGATGGTCCCTAAAACTGCGATTACAAAGTGCCAGCCAAGGGACAACTTTGCAGCCATGTCCCCATTACCTTACTCACAATAAAACAACCTCTCCCACTTGCACATGCTCTGCTTTGTCAGGAAACTTTATGGACTATTACTGGCTTTTCACATTCACATCCTCTGTTACCAAGAGATATTTAAGCATATACAGGAACACCTCACTTCTTGCAAAGCATTTCAGTTACCCCGTAAGATCAAGAGGTACCCAAAAACCAGGGTGAACATCAGCATCTCTCAAGGGTTCAGGCACTTTCTGCCCTTTGATTATTATGCACTCTTTCACACTGAGAATACTGCAGGCATTCTCTCAAATTCAAATGTTTGTTACCTTTTAAAGACAATATAAATCTGACAGCAAACACTAACATGCTACAGCTTTACAAAATTTTGCACCACTGTACCAATTCAACCCAATAAACTTGTGCATTGAACAAAAATGAACAGAACAGCAGCATTCCAATAAATATACATGAACTTTACATTGCATAACACAGAGTGTGCTTACCTCTCTATTTTGCTGTGTGCTGTCACTAAAATCTGTCTGCTTTATTAGAGTAACAATACAGAATTTTTACAGTTACAGCAATGCCAACCAAAGACTGGCAAACCTTCTCCTGACAAGTTTAAGACGTGGGGATAGAAGTGCTTTACAAACAAATGATACCTGGAATCAACATCACAGGGAGTGCAACATACACAGATTTAGTGGTTTATTTTAAGCTTTGCTGGCTTAAACAGCTTAATTAACCCTGGTACAAAAAAAAAACCCCAAACCATACTACAATCAACAGCAGGTAGAGTAGAAAATCCCCACTGCAGAACACCTGAGCACAGAAACATCTCCTGCTTGTCTAAGGCTGCTGCTCAGCCCAGTCCTGTGTCCTGAAGCATGGGATGGATGGAGGTTCCCTTCCCACGTGGCTGCCCTTCCAGCAGCAGCAGCACTGGGATCTAGTGCTCCGTGGCACGTAGAAAGGAGCTTTGCTGCCGTGGCAAGCACAATCTGCTGCTCCTCTAAACTGCCTTCTCCCAGGGAGCTTTGCCAGTGTATTTAGGGTAACAGGACGTCCCATGTGTTCCCCAAACCCAAAGGAGCTTTGGAGTTCTTGTGCCCAACAAGCTGATTTACACCACAGGCCTGCGAAAGCAGTCCTGGACCTCAGGTCCCCACGACTTCAAGTGGGAATTTTCCTCAAGTGTGCTATAACATCTTTTCCATGCGTGCTTTTTTCTAAACCTGTAATTCTCAAGCATCAACATTATCTGTAAATCACCACACATCTCAACTACAGGCTTTAGAATCAGCAGGCAAACCTGTGTGCACATGGCAAAGACAGCCATGGCAGACCCAGCAAAGAACTGTCAGAGAATTTCAGAACCTTCTGCAAGGAGTACTCGAGGTAACAGCAAATCAGAGTTCTCTGTTACTGCATAATTAAATATTCAGTATTGAAAAGCCCCAATGAAAAAAAAAAAGAACTCTATAGCTTAAAAATCTCTAAATGCAAACAGGACTGTGGCCTCAGGAGCATAATACTGAATTTACTTTTAGTTTTTGAAAATATATGTAAAAGAATTTAAAGGAAAATCTTTATTTAATACAAAGCTCATAATTTCACAAGAGGGATTTAATTTTTTGTTTCTTTCTGCTATTGAGCCACAAAGAAGATAGTAGAAAGCAGCCAAATAGCATATTCATGCAATTCTCTGCAATTACTCAGTTTTATTTGCCAGTCCTCTATTAAACTCTTAACCACATTTCACCCATATCTGAACTCATGAGTATATTCCATATGGATATGTTATGTCTGCAGTGCCCCTTTCTTTCCACCATTTTTACTCCCTTCCTCTTTTCCTCAACTCTTGGTGTGTCACAGAGGCTCTCCACACTCACCCCAGGAGTATGGGGTGAGTATGTGATGTATCCTACACAAATGGACCATTTTTGGACACAGATAAACAGAATAAAGCCACCTGGGTACCCATGAGTTTGCACAACACAGCACCAGCTGACAACCCCAAAATGCCATGAATTCACACAGCTCTTCACTGAGGCTCCTTCCAGGGTCCCAACCACCTTGGAGCCTCTTCTGACTACAAACTGTGCAGGACAGTTTTTCATAAAGTAACAGCTTGGTTTTTTCTTATCACTTCTGGGTATCAGTATGAAAAAAAATCCAGCAACTAGTTACTTAATCTTTAAGACAACAGGAATATTTGAAATTGGTACTATGATGTAACAGCAGTGTAACAGGAATGGTTCTGAACATGCTCTTTGGAATCACAGATCCAGAATTGTTACAAAACCAGCACAATGTGCCTAATACAGAATACAGCAAGTTACCTGTTCTCTAAATACCTACACAAACTTGACCAAAAGTTGTGTGTTGCTTGGGAATCAAGGAGAAATATCTTCAGCTTTACAACCCATTAAAAAAATATTCATATACTCACCTGAAATGTACCTTTTCAAAACACAAAATCAAAGTATCAGAGAGCAGGGCAAACATTCAAAACACTGTGCAAATGATGTGTGTGATTAACTGCAATCCATTTTGAAACTACAGCTATAAATCATAGTTCTCTGCTTCTGACCAAACAATCAGGGTGTCCTGTTTGAGAAAAAACCAAGAAAATAATTATTTCTGAAACAGGTCTGTACTATATATTAACCTCCACTCCTTTAAAGCCAATGTCTAAAGAATAAGTAATTTTAATTAAAGTTACACTTGTCAAAAAAAAAGCATAAACCACTAAAATATTACATCATGTTCTGCCATACATCAACTTTCTTGTTATTTTATAGCCATTAACTTACACAAAATATATTTAAAGATACTGTTTTTCATATCCAAGCCACTTATGATGGCATTTCTCTGCAAGATACATTTCTTGAGCCAAGTCTTGAAATGGGAAGGCATACATTAGATTAAGAAAACCTACAATATAACAGGTTAAGTATTGTCATAGTAAGATAGAAACAAACCCCCTAAGATTTCAGTTTTCCCTTCAGAAAGAGTTTAAGACAGCCCTAGCTAAGTGAGATATAATGCCTAGCTAATGTTCAAATACTCCTTTCTGAATTAAAAGCCATACAGCTTGAATAATACAAAACTCCCAAGTTCTTACTAAAGTTACAACCACCTTGCCAGTTATTTTCATTCCAGCCAGGTTTTCCTTCTCTGTTATTATTGTCTCCATCAATTCAATTTGTGCACTTGCACAGCACACCTGGAAGTTTTGGTGGAATTTCTGAATAGGCTAAAATGGTTTTTGAGGAGATTTTATTAGGATACTTGCTGCTGTCCTGTAAGGAATGCAAGCCTGTACTTCAACATTCAGTTGAATATATATTCAAGACAATATAGAGTGGTTGTGGTTTGACCCAGCTGCCAAGGAAGTACCACACAGCTGCTCACTCACTTCCTCCCACCACTGGGATGGGAAAGAGAATCAGGACAAGGTGAAAGTTCTATTCTTGAGGTAAGAACAGTTTCCAAAATGAAATAAACTAAAATATAATGAGCAATTATAATAGTTACAGGAAAAAAAAAGAAAAAAAAAGAAGGGGAAGAAAGGAATAAATCCTGACAGTTAAGTGATGCTCAGCACCACCTGAGCAGCAATCAGCCCCTCCCAGCCAACCCCCCAGTTTATCCCAGGGTATGGAACATCCCCCTGGCCAGCTCAGCTGTCCTGGCCACGCTCCCTCACAGCTCCTCACTGCCAGAGCAGGGGGAACTCATCAGTCCTTGACTCAAGGTAAGCACTGCTCACAACAACTAAAACATCCCTGTGCTATCAGTGTCGTTCTCATCCTAAATCCAACCACAGCACTGCACCAGCTGCTGGCATGAAAATTCACTCTGTCCCAGACAAAAGCAGGAGAACAGTTCTCCATCCTACAGCAAACTCATCTTCATATAAAAATATCCAAACTGAGCAGCTCTCTGCTAACTCTCCAGAATATTTGATGAGCTCCAGCAAAACTGTTCAACATTCCAAGTCTGACTTCCTGAACTGTTATTACAGTTTTTTAAATACTGAAGTGTTTTTTAAACACTAACAAGCTTTTCCTTAATGGTCAGCAAGGTAATTAATTCCCACATTTACAACATTCAATATTCACCACACAACTCATCGAAGCTGGTTAGGTCTTTAGACCACTTTTAGTGAACACAAAATATTAAGAGTGGTATCCTTAAGCTCAGCAATGAAACCCAAAAAACACCTGATGATATTCCTTAGGTGCTTCAGGGGCAGTAAGGTTTAAACAGACCTTTGTAAATGCAGTTATCTGGGCTTACACAGGTCAGGGAGCACTCTCTACTTCCAGGTGTGAGGGGATTGACATTTGGGAAGCAGAGCTGGCATGGGACAGTGGGTTCCCTCTTCCATCAGCAGTTATTTGGAAAACACACATCTGTCTCAACACAACCTCCCAGCTGCTACAACTACCACTGGAACATGAATGAACAGCAGCAGCACTGGTACAGCATTAATTCTTCATTTCTACAGTAATCCTAATTCCTCAATACCCACGGGGAGTTGTATATCTTGGGAGTTTTGTCTTTGCCCTTTTCTTCTCTTTGAAAATGAAGTTAAGAACAACATCAGCGTTGGCAAATGCCTATCAATAGATCCATTTCCTTCTCCCAAAATAATCAAGGCCACACTAAAAACAATGGAATTTGCACAGACAATTTTTTTTTTTCCTTTCTTACTAATTTTTACACATTTCTTTAGCGAAAAAAAGTTTCCCTGTTGTGGAAAGAACAGAGTTCAATGCACTGTGGTTTCAGCACTGTTGTGAGTTGTTTATTTATATTGCAGTGTCCTATATTACAGTTGCACTTTTCTCCTACAGAGAAATATTAATAGGGAGACTCTCTGCTGCCAGGCTCCATCACAACTGGTCCAAGCTCTTAGAGCTGACATGGTTTTCATTCACAGCTGTCCCCCCTCATCTCCAGCTCAGGACCTCTGGATCTCTGTATTTACCTTGTGCCATTTCAGAGTCAACAACTCAACTGGGCTTCAAGGGAAAAATAGTAATTGTCAACTGCACATACTGAAAAGCCTCATCAGCTCCCTGACCTGGTTCTTGTTCAGAGACTAATAAAAAAAAAATAATTCTTAAGTACAATTTTATGGCTGCTACAGAATTTCAAATCTGAAATGTTTACCTTGAAACATTCTGTGCAAGTACTGATGGCCTGACACTCAAAATCAATGCACTGCAGGTAAGCTGAGCCTCAGAGGTGCTTCACTGAACAAAGAAGGACACGCACATTCAGCAGCCCTATTCATAGCCCGGGATGATTCAAGTAAGAGAATTAACGCAGGAACTTAAAATGACTCCAGGCACCCAGGGACTGCAGTCAAAAATTTGTGAAAATTCTCGAGTTACTGAATGGTACTTGTTACAATCTGTACTGCCCACACAAAGCACAAGTTATATAAGCTTTTCCAAAAATATTTCAGAAAGACTGAAAGATGGTTTCAAGAGAAAATAATTGTCCAGAACCAATATAAGACGTACTCATCTGGCACACACTTCCTGCATGACCTCAGACAACCCACGAAGAGCAGACAGACACCTTCCAGGCCGAGCTCTACCACACTCCCACCTGCTTAGAGGCCATGCTGCTCCATCCACGAGCAACAACAACGTTCCTTAATTCACTCAAGCACCAATAAAGACAAAAAAGATTAATTCTGAACAAAAACTGAAACTCAGAGCAGTTCAAACCCTTCTCCAGTGCTGGTGCTGGTGTGCACAGTGTCTGCTACTCCACCCCTCCGTGCTCCTGCACTGCACCACGTCCCCATGCCAGCACCAATGTGCTGCACAGGGAAGCAGATGGGGAACACGTGGGGATAAAAACGAATCCAGCGGGAAGACATGTTTCAACTGACTCAGTCCTACATCCAACCTGCCACTAGATGAAACAGCAGTGAAAAAGCCCTCTGGCAACTGCTCTGGCTGCCTTTAACAGCACCCCTGCAAATGTGTTAAATCCTGGCCACCAGGAACTCCTATTCTGCCTCGAGCAAAGAGCTCTGTTGTCACACGATGGCAACTTTGAGCAAAAGACAGGATTTGCACAGGATCTTCATCTCAGAGCTGCAAACAGAGCACACCCAAAGCAAAGGTAACACCAGAAGGCAGCACTCCCAGTAAGGATTTCTGCAGCAGCTCCATGTCTTTCAGCCACGGACTCGCTCTTCTGCCAGTTCTGCCAGGGAACAGTAACCTCAAGCAGAGGCTGAAACATCAAATGGGTGTGGTGCCAACCTTTAAAACTAGGCCTGCCAGAGCCTCCAGAACACATCTGACCCTGCCCTCTGGCTAACGTGGGGTGTCCAGCAGAGGTGTGTAACTCTCAATGCCTATGCCCCAAAATCCAGGGGGACCTAAAGCTCTCCAGGCTCTCATGTTCTTTGCATTCATCTAACTAGACATAATTTTGCGCTGGCACCTTTGTCTGACCCATCCAAGCCCAATTTCCCTTGAGAAAGGGAAAGTCGTGATGACAGTGTGCCCAACACCTGGCCAGAATGAATTCCCCAGGAACCACAGACACGACTGGAGCAGGGAGGTAACAGGCCTGTCCTCTTTGGGGTTGGTCAACAGCTACAGCACGACTTGGCACTAACAGTGTAATACTGGAAGTCACAGACTGATGCACAGCACCGAAAAATCAGGGCTCGGTTTCCTTCTTTCACAGGAGCTGTCGTGCAAACCACAATTAAGCGTTAAGTACCCTCTAAGTCCAGTCAAGTCATTTACATAAGGACAGACGTAGGCAGGGCATGTTTCTTTTCCTTCAAGCTGCACCACCCTGCAGCTTTCCCCAAATCCAAGACCATCAACTCCAGGACAATGCTCTGTGTCAGCTGAAAGCTGCACGAGGTTGCACAAACCTTAAGGAGCAAACAGAGAAGAAAAAGCTTTCTGCCACACGGACACAAAAGCATCAGTATCAGAAATAAAAGCCAGGCAAAACAAGCAAAATGGTAACAAAAGCTACTTAAATCACTTGAAAATTTGCTACCAAGTAAGTAAAAAAGGCCTACAATTAATCAGTTGTAGTTTCAGGAAACAGGGTGTGAAAGAAAGCATTTTAAAACTTTACAGCAACAAAATCTGCATTTGCATTTCACTATGAAGAGGTTTCCTCCAGTAAACAGGAAGCAGTTCAAGACTCTTGGCTTCTGGAGCTCTGCAGAGCTCCTTCCTCAGCACGGCCCCCCAAGGAAAGCCTACAGCCACCAACCCCTAACATGTGAAAAGCAGAAACCACAGCAAAGAGCCCCCTGGAAAGACTGGCCCAAAACTCCACATCACTGCTAACCTGAAGCGAGCCAACCCATGTCCACAAGATAACAAAGTCTCTTTCTCAAATTCTCACACTGTAAGTTGTCACTATAACAAAATCCTCAAAGATGTGTCCCTCTGTGACTCAGGAAGAACAAAATTACTGTTTTCTGCAGTGCTGAAACACTTCTGGATACCATAACGATAAAGAACAAGTATCAAACGCTGAAGGAACAGAGAACGCTGCAGAACAAAGGAACAGACAGAAAAAACTCCAGAAAACCCATGAGAACAATGCAGGCAGAGACATCAAAAATGCATGCTGAAAAAGGGAAAACAATACAAGCAGAAGAAATTCAGTAAGCTGATTTTTTTCAGTGGATGAAACAAAAATAACCTAATAACAACTGTTAACTGCTCCCAACTGTTTTACTTTGTCTTGCAGGAGGTTTACCCCTAGGAAAGGTAACTCTCACCATGGCTTGTGGCCTTACCTAGGACAACAGGAGCTTTCAGGGCTTAAAATAAAATCTAAACAGCAACAACAAAGAAAGGAGTCCCACAAAGACAAATTCCTTCATGTTATTTCCAGAAAAAGAACTCAATAAATAAATAAATACACTTCAACAGAGCTGGTCAAAGTTTTGCCTCCCTAATTTTACAATTATTTCAGATGGCCTGGCATAGGAGACAAAAGTTACACATACATGTTTTCAACTATCCTTCCTGTAATGATTTCAATATTTCTCCAAATTGCATATATTATCTTCAAAGCCTGAATTCCAAAAGGTATTTTTCTAGAAGACCCACATATTAATTTCTAGAATGTGAAGTGTCTAGCATCCACAGGCTTCTACGCAATTTTTTCACCTCTAAAAAACACCCATAAATTTTTTCACCTCTAAAAAACACCATCAACAATTGTATGTCCTCTTGCTTTTCCTTTTTTTCCTGAAAAATGCAATTACTCCAAGCACAAAACAATTCCTCAGCACCAGCAACCAGAGAAAGTAAAGCCTAGCAAAAATACTTGCCTGCTGTTTTTGATATGCAGTATTTGGATTTATCTTCGATTCTAACAGTAGTGAACCTGAAAAAGGTACGAAGAGAGATTTACTGAATCCAACAAAACAAACATCTCCACACATCTCACACCACTGCCCACGTGCCAGCCAACACTCTCAGCTTAATCCAAATCTCATGGAAAATCCACAAGAACCGCCTCCTTTAAATATAATTTCCTAAAATAAGCTAGGTAAAACAAAATTCAACAGGAATATCCCTATTAAAATAATTTTTTCTCTCCTACTTTAGTCCAAAATCCACTTTTAGCACTCTTTTCTTCTGAGATCTGGCGGAAGAACCAGCTTTTTTAGTGATCTTTTAGGCCAACTGTAAAAATTCCAGCAGGTAATGTGCTGCCCAGCATAAAAATGTTTTTGTCCAGAGAAGCCACGTGGGCCACTTGCTTTTATTCCCTTCAGCTGCCCTTCAGAAGTGAATCATTCAGCTACTATAAACGCAGGGACTTCATCTTGTGTATGCAAGTAGTGTATGTCTCCTGGCAACAGCTCCGGAGCAATTTATACCAGTCTTAGGTGGTTTATTTAGCACATTAGCACCTGCCGGCTGACAAAGTGGGGAACACGTACCTCCCCCCTCTAAAATAGACCCTTTAAGGTGACTTTAAAGTGCAATAAAACACAAGGGATGCCACCCGACTGGAACGCAACCAGGGAACTCCTGAGGAGAAAAAGAGCAACAAACAAACAAGTTCTTTTACAGAAGTAAGAAAGGGAGGAAAAGAGCACCTCAGAAGCAAAGGATATTGCTCTGAAAGAGAACAAAATGTCCCCACATGTCACAGCTTCAGCTCTGTTCAGGCCGAGGAGCCACAGCTGGCTGGGGTGACTGCATGGAGCTGGGTCTGGGGAGGTTCGGGATGGATATCAGGGAAAGGTTCTTCCCCCGCAGGGTGGTCGGGCACTGCCCAGGCTCCCCAGGGAATGGTCCCGAGGCTACCAGAGCTGCAGGAGCGCCTGGACAACGCTCTCAGGGATGGGTCTGGGGAGGTTCGGGATGGATATCAGGGAAAGGTTCTTCCCCCGCAGGGTGGTCGGGCACTGCCCAGGCTCCCCAGGGAATGGTCCCGAGGCTGCCAGAGCGCCTGGACAACGCTCGCAGGGCCACGCTGGGATTGTTGGGAGCTCTGTGCAGGGCCAGGAGCTGGGATTTGATGATCATGATGGGTCCCCTCCAGCTCAGAGTATTCCATAATTCTATGAACTGGGAGGGGAGAAGTCTAAGACCACAGTAGCAAACGCTGCCGTGTCTTGTGTGGTGAGGCAACCCCACACGATCCGCAACGTAAGGCAAAGCAGGGGGAGTGGAAATAATACCAATAACAACGATAATCCCCGGGGGTGTCCCAAGGGAAGGCACCATCAGCCGGGCCCGGCGGTGGTGGGGGGCAGCCCCGGCGCTCGGGGCCCGGAGCCGGGCGTGGGGCGAGGGGAAGCGGCCTGGGCAGCCCCGGCCACGCTCTCACCGTCCGACTCGGCGCGCACCAGCAGCGACATCCCCTTCAGCCGCTCCACGTAGCTGGAGGAGACGTGCCCGGTGCCCCTGTCGTCCCATTGCCGATCCTCGTTGAGCGTGTAGACCTTCACCCGCCGGCGGGTGTCCGACATGGTGCAGCCCCGGGCCCGCTCCGCCTCCGCGGGGGCGATGGAGCGAGGGCGGCGGGGAGCAAGCGGGGCCGCCGGGCCGCTCAGGGGCACCGCGGGGCCTTTAACGCGCCGCTTCCCATGGCGAGTCAGCGCCGCCGCGCCCCGGCCCGGGCCTCGCTGGCGCCGCTCCGCCTCAGCAGCTACTACAGCGCCGCCGCCATCTTGTAACCCGGCTCGGGCCGCCTTTCTCTTCCTCCCCGCCCGGGCACGGGCTCCCCTCGCAGGGGCTACGGCGGCCGCCCGCTGCCGCCGCGCCGCCGACGGGACGGCGGCCACAGGGGCGGGGCCGCGGGGCGGGGCCCGCGCGCGCTCCCTCACGGCGCCGAGGCGGGAACGGGGAGGCGGGAACAAAATGGCGGCTGCCCTCAGCCACAGGGGGGTGTGGGCGCATCGCTGCCTTTGAACGCCCGAGGCGTCTAAAGGGGGAATTGGCTCATATGGTCCCCAAAAAAACCTTTTTTTTTTTTTTTTTTTTTTAATTCTGTCTAAAAGCTGACGAAACACACGCCTCGCCCCCTCAAGCCACAGAAAGTGCCGCCCATCCCCGTCACACAAAATGACGGGCGAGCTCCACACCCCGGCCAGGGTAAATTTAAACAGCACACGCAACTGAAACAGAGTTTCAATTTTCAGGAATTTCCAGGAAGAAAAGGTGTTCCCTGCATCAGAAAACGGCAGAAAGGTTAGTGAGCGGCATCTCCTTACAGCAGCAGCCATACTGTAACACGGCGTCTGTGCCTGCTTTGTACATCTCCACAGAAGGCTCGAAAGCCAAACTGAAGGTGAAGCTTCAAAAAGGAGAGAAACGTGCTTAACTAGCCCTTACACACAGCGTACAGTTTAAGACAGACCACTTGCCAAGCATCGTAGAGTCTGTATATCTTAAGTTTTCCACACTAAACACCATCTACACGTTTCCTCTGTACTACAAATAAAAAAAAAAATAATTACATCTCCGTGCTTGCATGGGAACAGGGGAAAAGGACCCAAAAGCGTTCAGGGAGTGAAGCTGCGTGCAACAGCGGGAACCTGGGGACGAGGAGAAGCCTGAATGCGTCTCCAGACCCAATTTTTGAGGCTCTGAAGGGGAAGGAGGGAGGACAAGTTCTCCTGAGGCCAGGGTGTGCCTCATTCCCAGACAAAGCCAGACTTTCCTGGCTCTTGCCTCACGGTGAAAGCAGTCACACCGGTATGGCTCCTATTCACACGCCTGGCATTTCTCCGCTCTCAAGTTCAAATGCGGTTCCAGACGAAGGGAAAGAAAGTGTTTCCAACAAAGTCTGCCACTCAAAGTAACTATCTGCAACTTTTCCAAATATTCTCCGGGCAGATTTAGAAAAGGTAACATCTAAGTAACATTCAAGTCTCAGCTTTTGCTCTGATATTCATTGTAGCAGGCCTCTAAGATTCAGTCACCGAGAAAATACAATATAGACCTGTGAGAATTATCCTATACACTTTTATTCAGCTGTATAGGAGCACACCTTGGGACATGTGCATCATTATGGATAAGTGAGTCAGTAAGTATAAAAAGACCACGTTAAGTGGTTTCAAAACCCTGGACTGAGAGTCACATGAACCAGTTTACAGTCAGTTCCAAACAAGCCTTCCCTGCTGTGTTTTAGTGGCCTTTCCTCACAAGGTATTACAGACTGAGCATATTTCTACCTTGGAGAAAGCTCAATAAAAAGCAAACACACAAAAAGGAACACAAACCCCAATGGCCAGAGCATATTTCTGCCTCAGGACATTGCTGCTCATGAACTCCCTCTCCCCTCTACACGACTTCTGTGCGTGCTTCTTGGCTCTTCAAACCAAATGCACAAAAATAAAAGCATGACTTCCACTCATGATTAAATGCAGCACTTCTCAGGATATCTAAAACAGCAAGAAACCACTGCAGAGTATTTTGGAGCAAATCCTTATGATGAATAGCTACAAAAAGGAGATATGTTAATTAGAATTGGTATGAAAAAGGAGATATGTGAATTAGAATTGGCATGAAAAACTATTTCTCGTGCTTCAGCTGTGAAATAAATCCATGATCTCTCCAGGCATGAACTCAGTGACCTCTGTGGAAAAATATCACTCCAGACCACACAGGGATTGCACTCACTCAGATGAGGGACTTCTCTTCGCCCAAAACAGCATCCAGGGGGTTGTAAAGCCCAGCATGACCCTGCCATCAGTATCCACAACCAGCAAGTCAATTCTGGGGGCTTTGCCTGGACAAAACACACAATGCTTGCCCCAACAAATGTTCCATACTGGATTTAAACCCAGGCTTAGACCAGGAAAGCATCAGAATCTCTGCTCTTTAAGATGCACAGAAAGCAAAGCAATGTTTTCCACGGTGGTGTTGCACCTGCCAGCAGCTCATCCTTCCCCATCACCACCAGCGAGTTATCAGTGTTGAGAATTCTCTGTTCTTCATCAAAGCAAAGGATTTCATCAGGGTAGACGCAGACAGAGCAACTCACAAGTGTCACTACATGAACAGCACAGAGCTCTTTTTTTTTTTGTTTTCCCAAGCAAGACAGGCAATTCATTCCTAAATCATTTAAAATTTCTTGGAGTGAAATTAAGAGACTATCATTCCCTCTGGCAGGCAGTCCCAGAAGTACCTTTAAAATTTCTTGGAGTGAAATTAAGAGACTATCATTCCCTCTGGTAGGCAATCCCAGAAGTACAATTAGGCCAGCTCTTATACTTTTATGATAGCACTTGTAATATTTATTGCTGGCATTTAGAGATACCCCAGCTCTCAATCTTTGCACCTGCATGAAAACTTCAGATTTGTCAAATAAGGGTGTTTCTGGCCCTCCTGAGCTGCTGCAGTGCTGCACCTGCCCAGCTTCACTCTCCAAGGCAATTTCTTTCCATGGCTTCATTTAAGACAAGTCATTAGAGAAGCTAATTATGTTGAGGAGTAAGAAAGAAGAAACAAATCACTATTTGAAACAAAAAACCATCTGCTGCAAAAGGACTGAGCTTGTTCTCTCCAGCACTCTGGACCCACCTGGTTTCTGATCATGGCTGATCCCACCTGAGCCAAGCTCCTCCTGCCACGGCCCCGCGCCGTCTCTCGGCGAGCCCGGGATGGCCTTCCCTCCAGGAAGGGTCAGAGCAGCACACACTTACTCAACTCTTGGCTCCCATTGAGCTTCTCTCCTCAGGTAAGAGCAGCTGCTTTCTGCTCCTCCCAGCCAGCTCCCAAGTGTGCTCTTCCCCCGCCCCTTCCCATGGGGCCTAAAGCTGGTTCCAGATGCAGAAAGTCAGGCTGACTGTACAGGTTCTGCCACAGCAACATTAAAGTCATTTTGCTCCTTTATCATCATCCACCAAACAGACAATGCCCCAGCACTGCAGTAGCTGCTTTACTGAGACCAGCTCCACAACACACCCTCTCAGAAATTAGTGTACAATAAAGGCAGATAAACCTTGGAAAACCACTTAGATTGGGGAGGTAGGTCCATTTCTGGGAAGAGTTACCAGAAAAACAACATCTGGGTTTCTGTTCAGGGACTTTAACATTGACCCACATAATTTTATTAACATCATTCATATGTAATAGTCATGTATCAGTCAACTGTCATAGTAAGAAGTGACATCTGAATTCTTACTAAGAAATAATAAGACACAGCCCTCAAAGAGGAAGAAAAGATTGCCAAGGAAATCTTTCTTCAATCTTTCCCAACTTTTTTCAATTTTTCAATCTTACATGATGAAAGACAGAGACAACTACAGAGCAGCACACCAGTCATTTCTTTCTTCTTTAATACTTTAACTTAGAATAAAAAAGGAGTAATTTTTTCTGTACAGTCCCACTTCTCCTCTCCCCAGTGCTTTGTTTTTTATTTCAGGTGGTTCACAGCCCACCTGCCACCAGGTGGGAAGTTGATTTTCTTATTAGTCCTGCATACAAATTGTTGAACATCAGAAGGACCCTGTTTGATTTTCAAAGTCTGTACCTCACAGCAGAAAAACGAGTCATTCTCATGAGCCCCTGGGAAACGTTTTGAAGTCTAAAAGAGATCAGCGAACTCACTGATGCAACATAATTAATAGAAGGATTAAGACACTCCTAATGAGAGTGTTTTAAGGAAAGATTTATCACATCAATTGTTCATTCCAAAAAATGTCTTTTAATGTTTTAATTATGTATTTAAAAGTCAGCGCTAACAAACCCAGGTGGTAAGAGGTGATGTTTCAGCAAAGTTCTGCTCAGATACTGCAGCAGGTCTGAACATTTTGAGAGTGATGTATGAATCTAAACCAGCACCCATCATGTTAAAGGTGATACTTCTAAGTCTTTCTGTCTTGCTCAACATTCTTGTACACTGACAAGCCAGTAAAACTTTGGCCAAGTGTGACTCTTGACCAAGCGTACAGGATAATCCTTTCTCCCACAAAAGAGTTGTTCAGCTCTTACTTCTCATATTCACAGTTTTATTTTGAGTGGATAACTCAAAAGAGAATAACCTTTAGCATTGAAATATCTTCTCAGCCAAAAGAATCCCACCTTCTTGTATTCTCATCTCAACCTTGCTACACAAGATGAGGGCATTGCTGGTTCCTGGTTTTATTTTAAAGTTTTAAATCAATTTGAAGGCTTTGAAGTTCTACATCACCTTTAAGCATAAATAGTGTCTATTTTATAAATATGATTCACTACCATCCACCTGCAGATTCTTGTGAGGACATGTAGAGGTTCTAGCAAAGGTCACTTGTATTTTCACCAGCTATCACACCTTTTTCCTGAAAGAGAGAAAACACTTTGTAACCAACTCATTATATCAAAAATGTTCCTTAAATCCGAGATTTCTTCAGTGAATTTTCCCTTCTTTTTGTGCTGTCAATCATTCCTAGAGGGCTGCCACAGATTGCCTTGAGTTCCCACTGGTGCACTGTGCATTTGCCAATCTTGCTGTCTAACTGCTCCTGATTTTAACATCAGACACTTTCCTGTTCTAGCAGCTTTCTAAGAACAAGAAAAAACACAAAAATTTTGGGAAAAGTTGAGGCATGAGCCTTCTGACAGTCAAATACATAAAAAAACTACTTCTAAGGAAGAGCTTTGGTCGTTTCATTAATTGGCTGAAATCCTCTGCACTGTTTACTTAATCAAGAAAGCAGCTTATTTTTTCTTCTCTTCCAATATCCTGTTTGGGTTTTTTTCTTTAAAAGGTAGAGAAAAAGGATGTTTGAGATGAACAAGTAAATTTGTTTTGGACAGAGGAGCCAGTCCAGACTGCCTGAGACCATCAA